ATTCCTGGGGGCCCCGGTGGGCCTGGTGGGCAGATGGCCGGGCACTGTTGGGAAACAGAATGGTCAGACCCCTCCCAGTAAAACTGGGGCAGCGCTGAGGTCAGAACCCAGGGGCTCGGAGATGGGCCGTTTGGGGTGGGTGAAGGGGAGCTCAGGCCACACGGGGGCCTCCTGGGGAGCCCAGACAGGGCCTCATTCAGGGCCACCGTGGGGCGCGGTGAGGGGCTGCAGAGCCAAAGCACGGCCGCCGGCCCCTCATAGCCGGCTCCGATGTCTCGGCCCCCGTGCAGGTTCAAAGCAGCTATTCAGCCTGATGGCTGCTGGCTTCACAAAGGGGCCTTTATCACGCGCCCGGCTCTGCAGCCAGCTCTGCTCGGGGGTCCCCTCGGTGCCAGAGGTGCCTCAGGGAGGGACACGCGGTCTTCAGGCACAGGCCGGATGCGCCACACCTGGGGGCTTGGCGAGCCCAGGGGCGGCATGGGGGTGTCTGGATCATTCCACGGCTGCTCTGGCACGGAGCCAGTGCCATCCACCTCCCCCAGCTGTCCTCCTCTTTCCAGAAGACCCCCAAACCCTCCTTCAGGACACCAACCGTCAAGCACTCAGGACACCGGTGGGGGAGAGAAGGGCAGCAGGGGCCCCAGTGGGCAGGCGGGCTGGGCCAGGCTCTCCCTTTAATAACTTCCAGCCGCTCCTCCGAGGAGGCCGGGTGCTGGCCTGGCCCATGAACAGCTGTGCAAATGAAGCCCACAAACCCCAAGCCTCCAAAGTCACTGTTTTTCTTCTGACAAGAGAGACAAAGCTCAACAACCAAAAGTGGGCCCCAGACTCTGGTCTGGAAGCTTTTGTGATGGGAAAACCTTCTGTCTGCGCCCCCAGGGCAGCCAAGCTCGCAGCTGACAGCACCCGGAGCCTGTTTGTGCCGAGGGGCGGGATGGGTCAACACGTGATTTTGCTTAAATTAACTTCAATTCGTGCTGCTGCGCATGCCAGGGTAGACCGGTGAGGGCGGGGAGGGGCAGCTCAGGGGGGACCGTACCCAGAGCTGGTGCCGCCGGCACTGAACCTGTCCCTAGGGGCCCCCCCGTCCCTGCCTTCCTGTGCTCTCCAGACGGGCCCCTCCCAACAAGACAGGCACCCCGACAAAGGGCTTCACAAAGGCTGCACGTGCCCACCTGAAGGTCAGTAGCGCCTTCGGGAAGGACCCCTGGGCGACCCTGGAACAGAGAGACGCCAGCTTTGACGTGGGCCCCCCCTTCCCTCCCCCCGCCCACTCAAGACCTCCAGGGGACTCAGGGGCCCTTCATCCCCCAGTGGCCAGTGCCAGGTACTGCTGGTCCCCGC